TGTCCCGTTTGTTAAACTTAATCTGGGTGCGTCTTTAAAACGCATTGGTAAAAAAAAAAAAAAAAAAACAATTGCAGCGACGTTAAGCAGCGCCTTTGAAGTGAAACGACTGTGAGTGAGTGAAAGCGACACGTCTGACCTGCCGTTGGAAGCTTTTGTCACCGGCGCATACATTTTGTTGTCGTCCACACAAAAACTGCAGTGTCACCAGTTCCCCTTTTATCTCCATTTTACACTAACACAATACTTGTTAATCTGTCACACAGACACACACACACGCATTTCATTCAGGTTTATCTACCACAGAGTGGGAAAAACATTAAATATGATCTCTTACCTTCGGAAGAAAAATAATCCAAATAATAAATGACGTGTCAGTAATCCTTGTATTGCTGTAATGTTACGTGTCCTTAAAAAAAGTAAACAATCTGCTGTGTAATGAATTTGAAGTCAGACTCTCATTCTGTGTCAGTGGAGGATTTGAATGTGGCGCCAACCACTGTGCTCCTCTGCTACACACACACTCGCACCCGTCACACACGCAAAAAAAATAAATAGAAATTGAAATAAACACTTATCGTTGTTTTAAACGCATGAAAATGTGCGTGTGGTTGAGCACAATCGAGTCCTGGTAATATTTTCGAATAATATGCCTTCTGTGATTTATTTTAAATTTTTATTCTAAATTAAAAGAACCGTCACAGGCTTTCGGGGCCGCGATGCAGGACGGGAGATTGAGCGAGGCGGTTGGGTTTTGAATTTCTAACTGCTCAGAGAGCAGAGGGAGGTGGCGCGCGCGCTCGTTCTTGGTGTGGCTACACTTGTGTCGTATTTAGTGGGGGCATTTTCCTTATGGAAACATTTCACAGGTCTACGCCGACATACAAATATAAACAGAACACAAATACAAAAATATATTTAGCAGGCACTTTAAGAATAAAGTCAGGTAAGCTAAAGCTATGTATAGTGTCTGTCACAAAAAACAAAACAAACCAAAAACAACAACAAAACGTGTGTATTTGCTCACTAAGTAGTTGTAGCAGTGCTTCAGTACAACTATACAAAAATATTTGAAAGAACCTACAAACAAAACTCAAACAGCAATTTTCATTAATATTAATAAAAAAATTAACTATATATTTATTTATCCCTCAATTGTGAAATTCTTGTGTTTCTTGTGAATACAGTTTTCTGATGACCCTACAGTGAGTCACTACAGGTCAGATCACACCACACGTAACTGCATGGTTAAAAGCCTGGGGGATATACCAGTGTACATATTGAACAATATAACTCATTTAAAACAAGTAATTTGTATCTGTAATTTGTCCAATTTGGATATTGTATCACACAAAACAGCTCACACTAACTTTTATTTAGAAGACACTTGGTAAGTAAACTGTGCTTCATGCTTTTATACATATTCAAAAATCTAGAACCAACAATACGTTCAATACACCATTCATCATTTTGCACAAATATTTATCAATTTAGGCCGATGCTGGCGTTGATTCTTGCTATAAAAACTGAAATCGGTGTAAATCACTAACTTATAAATAAACAGTAGACCCAATGAGAGTCCCATTTTCATGAGGTTGTTTTCCATTTATTTCATTTTATCTGCCCTACACTTTTTCAAGATTTGAAGCATCACTTGGTCAATATGACCAATATAAATCATGGTAATCATGATAAAGAAGCTCTTAAACTGCCTCTAGAACAGTGTTTCCAAAACGTTCGCCCAAGCCTGTGATAGCCCATACCCTCCATTTCTAATTTGACAAGTAAGTGAAATAAGTGAAAGTGAATTACTTTGTGTGTACTTTGTGACACAGCACACCACTGCACGCAACTAAATGTGACCGCTGTGTTTAACTCAACGGTTACCAAACTTTCTCTGCTGCACTTGTAGCTGCACTTGTGCAATTCATCTGGCCCAAGGGTGTGATGCCAACAAATGAGGACAAGGCTTTGTGGTCACACCTCCTTACAGGTATCATGTTGGTTGATCACGTTGTCAAACAGTCTTTGCAGATGTCTTTGTTGTTTTGAATAATGACATTTTTAGACCCTCTTTTTCTGTGGTTGTCTGATTTCTTTACTTGAAAGGAATGGCGGGACCACATTATCTTTTATCCGTCTCAAATACATGTGTCAAATTTGAGTTTAAATATCTGTTTAATCCATCCATTGGTTTTTATCCGCTTATCCGTTACCGGGTCGCGGGGGTAGCAGTCTCCACGACCGCCACCTAAATCACCCTGCACCGTACCAACCCTCCTGAACCTTCCTGTGGGTGGTGAGTCCACTGGAAGGTACCAACCACCGAGATTCGAACTTGCCCAGGAGGTGAACCCATGGGTTCCACACCAATGACAGAGGACATTGCCTCTGGGCCAAAGCGCCACTATCTGTTTATTTTTTTTTTTCATTATTAGTTAGCATTTTTAGAACATACCTAAAACTTTTACACATTACTATCAATAGGTTTACAACGGACAGAATGCAATTTTTCAGAAAAATTCTGAGCACATTACTGCACAAACACAAAAACAAATTGTATTAGAATTGCTATTTCTGGAACAAATGAGATGCTCCTCCTCAATAGCATTATAAACTGAAAGTTTTGCACTCACAATTTTGCCTTTGACATTGAGGAAAAAAAAGAAACCACAGGGACAACGTTAGTCGCTCTTCGGAGCCATTATTGTCTTTTTTTACCATCTGGAAAAAAGGAACATACAAAACATTATTAGTATTGCTATTTATTGTCATTAAAAGTAAATATAAACAGAAGATTTCACAAACTTGAGTGAGAAAGTACCACATTTGAAATTGATGATTAGGACAGCAATAGATAAACATTTCCTGTGTGCCATCATATATACAGATTATGGTACATATTTTAATAGTAAGTAGGTATTGAAGTGTTATTGTTCACAGGATGTTTATATATAAGCATATATATATACACACTACACTATACACTTGAGGAAAAGTAGAAGGATTTAATGAGCCATTTATATCATGGCTAAGGTCTGTGTTTACCTGTGTCCCCACAGGAAGCCAACACACCTGCTACTAAAATACCACCAAAACAAACATAAAACCTGATATATCCTCTTAGTCTGTGTTAGTGGGTATCAAACATATGGCCCTTGTGGAAAAATCAGGTGACTTTGGGTTTCAATCTGACCCGCTTAATGAATTTTGAAAATAAAAAAATACACTAACACTTTCCTGTTCAGGAAATGTTTTTTAAAATTATATTTCATTATAATTAATTAAAAGATGTATCTAATATATTTGTACTTCCTTGCATAACAAAAAAGGGGAATACATGGACTTACCCTCATTTATAGGTAATTATGTTACGATTGTACTGGCCCAGCCCACTTAACATCTAATAAGGTTGTATGCCCTGAACCAAAAAATGACTATGACATCTCTGGTCTATGCAGTGCTATTTGTTTTTATATCAGTATTACATGTTTAAAAAATCATAAACAATTAATCTAAAGGCTATTATCTAATCACTGAAATGTTAACTCGTTCCATGAAGGTATCAAGGACTGTTTTGAAATGCCTTATTTTCTTTGTTGTCCATTCCATCATCCAGACCTCTGCCTCTTGCATTCTCTCCCTTTTCCATCATTCTCAGTGGCAGAAAAAGTGCCGCATGTTGTTCTTGGCTGCTTTGCACAGCATGGCAGCAATGAGCTCCACCTTTGTCCTTGGTCAGAAAGTAAAGGAGCGCATTAAGCCACGCGTTGAATGATGCTAGTGGCCTTGTTATCTTGTAGCACATTGAGACCATGGTCATAGTTTGACAGGGGACTCTTTTTGTCACTTTTAAGAGGAGGAAGATGGTTCTAGTGACATGGAAGGGAAGGAAACAGAGAACAAAGAGGAATGTGATGGTGATAATGGTCTTGATTGATTTACGTCTGCGATTAGCATATGGAGAACGGGCTCCAAGAAAAATGGCAAATCCTTCATCTCTTCTCCCTGCCCTTGATACTCGATTACTCCCTTTACTTGGTCTTCCAAATGCTGCAGAACTTGCATCATCTTTTTTCATCATTCCTTCATGTCCACCCTCTTTTCTACCTTTTCGGGAAGAGGGTCGTGAATGTAGAGTTCTAAATATAGTCACAACTACGTGAGAGTAACACCAGGCTATAATAGAAAAAGGTACAAAAAAGCCCAGCAAATGCAGTATGATGCCATAAGGAACGTAATCTGGGAACTCTTTATCTATGGCATCATCCCAACAGTTTTGGTACTCCTCTATTATACCTCTTAAGTTACTTTGGCTTTCATTACTATAAAGCACTGGAATTTCAGAGTTTTGGTTAACACTGTCACTTGAAGTGGTGCCACCCTTTTCAAACCTTGTCACTATACCTGTCTGAGCAAACCGAAAAATGGGGCTGGTTAAGGCAAAAACTACAATCCAGACCAAAATACAAATGTACTTGACAGCTTTCTTTGTCTCTAGGGTGATTACTTTCATTGGGTGGCAGATACCAAGGTATCTGTGGACTGAGATACAAGTTAGGAAGAAGATGGAGCAGTAGAGGTTAAAATAAAAGAGGAAACGGACTAAACGACACATAAAGTCACCAAAGACCCATCGGTCGTGCATGATGTAACTAGCCACAAGGAACGGCAGTGACAGCCCATACATGAAGTCTGTGGAGGCCAGGTTAACCATGTAGATCAGCGAGGCGTTCCATCGCTTGGTCTGGCAGAAGGATCGATACAGCACGACAGAGTTGAGTAAAATGCTGAAAGTGAATGTAAAAGAATAGCAGATGGGAAGAAATATATACTTATATGACTCATCAATGCTGCATGATGGGAGTAGAGTTGGGGTAGAGGGAGGTGGGGAATGTAAGATGGAACTGAGTACATCATCCTGGACTGAGTTGCTGATGTTGGGAGGATCTCCATTTGTTGTTGACATCCTGATGTTGTTGATTATGTTTACATGAGACAGAATAGGAATGCATCTGTTGCTGGCATGTTTAGGAGTCTCAGCTCTTTCTTGTCCCGCAGAACCTGATGGTATCAAATAATGCAGTCCCTTAGTGTAGATTTACAGATGACTTCAGATCAATTTCTTGCTGTATACCTGGAGATAAAGAAGAAGATTATTTGCAAGGTAGTCAAAACAACTCCCTTGTGAATAAATTGTTAAAACATTTGTTGTTCTCCTTTGTCTTTTAACGGTTATATTTTGGGTTTGCCTACATTTTACTTTTGAACGGCTTTTCCTCTATTTTTTAACTTCATTGCCAACATCTTTAGGCCAATATATCCACTGTCTCTTCTCAGTACATGTCCAAGCCATCCCAACCTTCTGTCTACCTGTATTCCTGTCCATCCTGGTCACCTAGTGACCATAGTTACTTTAAATCATCCACCTTTACCAACCCTTCTTGTCTTGTCTCTCCTATCTGCTCCCTATTCTCACCACTGATGACAATGTCATCTGCAAACGTAATGGTCCATGAGCCTCTTGTCTGACCATCTGACCGTCTTTCAATGTAGCAAACAAAAATGGGCTCAGAGCTGATCCTTGATGACCCCACCCCTACTTGCAGCCCATCAGTCACTCTGACAGCAGACGTAACTACCGTATTTTCCGGACGACTGTAGAAGTTGCACTTCTTTCATCCTTTGGCAAGTTTTGCGACTTATACTCAGGTGCAACTTATATATTAAAATATAAAATTTTGCATGTTATTTTCACACTGACAGCCACTAGAGGGCACTCAAGGCTTGTGTACCAATATCTGCTACTCCTGTACCACTGAAGATTTACGTTTGTTATTTTCACACTGAGAGCTCCACAGCAGTAAGAGCTCTAAAAATGTACTGTAGATGACTTGAGGCAACAGTCATGATCATGACAGGAAAATTGAAGTTGAATTGAACTTCTAACTTCTAAAATCAGGAAATGCTTTTTTAACCTGAAGAACCTCTAAAAGCTGAAAACTCAAAGCGAAAAAAGTAGAACTTAAGATGATCATTCAAGGTCATCACAGCCAGAAAGATCTTCATCACCTGCACTTTCTTTCAGAACTACAGTGTGGTACTTAACCTACACTTGTTTACCCAGTTCATCTTAGGATTCATTTTAAAATTGTTGAAGCTTAAACATGTCAACACCTAAATATATTTCTGAGCTGCTGAAAGTGTATAACCTTGCATATTCTCAGGTGGGTGCTTGCTCGTCACCCCCCCCCCCCCCATTAAAAACTAGAGCTGATCTCGTCTTTCCTGTCTAGGTAAAACTTAAACTCTGCTGAGTCTTTCAAAGCGCAGCTAAACACCCTGTTGTTTAGACCGGAACTTGACCTTTTTGTCCTTCTGGCCACAATTTTTCCAGTACAAAGGGACCCATGGCCCATGTAAATATTAACACTGTATCAGCTTAACTAATCGTTCTGACTATTGTTTTTTTTTATAGTGAGTAGTATTATTACACTTACAATTCAACAAGCAAAGACTTTGTTAGATGAAGCTGGCTTTAAAATTAGAGTGGATGTTTGGTTTTACATGCCACATTTGTTTTGAAGGCTTCAGTGCTTTGTCTGATATCATTAGACTGCGCTCTACACACTGGGCTCTAGGCTCTGTCTCATGGCTTCCATTCACAAAGTCGTATATCACATTGATTCGTTGATAACAGCGATCTCAGTGAACAGAGAATCTTGACTTTCTTAAATTGATAACCAATGCATCCATGCAGACCTACAATGCTATACTGAACTTTTGTAGCGGCTTTCTAGGTGGCACTCATGGCCCAAACCTGGGCCATGAGTGCCACCTAGAAAGAATTACTGGTTTAGACTAGCTTTTGAACAGACCGATATGTAATAACAATAAATTGTGCAATATCACGCACCTGTTCAATTTATGTATCACAGTCGAAATCATACGTGCCAAACTCAAGGCCCGGGGGCCAAATGCGGCCCGCCAAGCCATTTTGTGTGGCCCGCAGGAGCTTAAAAAGCATTTAGTAAACCCATGACGCAGAGTTTCTTAACCTGAGAAATTAAAAGTTATTATTTTATCATACAGAAATGAACAATATTAACATGCATTAGTCTGTTATAGAGTAGTTACATCTATACCAGTGGTCCCCAATCTTTTTTGGTTCCAAAGACTGGTCAGCCAGTACCATCCATTACTACAGAACGGTACCAAGGTGCTGAGCATTGAAGGATCATTAAACTTTCAAAATAAAATATCTTTTAGACTTTATTCTGTTTGTATCAGTGTCTGAATGACCTTTTATTTTTAAATATTGCCAGATTATCTTTAAATAAAGAGAGTAAATGGATATGATGGATTTCTTTGAAGTCAATTAGTAAAAAAATAAGCAAATTTTTTTACTGTGTCCCCCTGTGGCCTGGTACTAAATGACCTATGGACTAGTACTGGACTGCGGACCGGGGGTTGGGGACCCCTGATCTATACAGTCTTCCATTAATAACCGGCCCTTCAAGGGGAACTGTATTGCTGATGTGGCCCCTGGTGAAAATGAGTGAAAATTCTTAAATCATAACACGAAAACTTGTTTTTTTTTTTCTTCTGGTAGACTACTGTTATTTATTATCTCAGCTGTAATATCTCAAGAAAAAAATACTTCAATTCTTTCACCCTGTACTGTAAATTTCCCCATTGCGGGACGAGTAAAGGACTTCCCAATCTTACAAGGTGAAAGGTATCTTAAAAGGTATTTTATTTTTTTATATAATTTGTGATGAACAAATGAACTATACCACTATAATGGATTGTAGAAAAGTAAACTCACACTAGTATGTTGTTTGCATAAAACTGAAACATGATGTATGGCATTAGAACAGAGGTTCCCAAAGTGTTGTCCAATGCTGTAAATGTTAAACAAGCAACTGGCAAAAAACTGATTGGTTGAAGGCGGTGTAAAATTCAATCTGCTCGGAGCATCAGTAGCCCCCCGCCCCTCCCCACACACGGACTCTCACTACTGCTAACTGACCAAAGTTAGCGATGCTCGATAAAATAGATAATAATAAGTTTAATAATAATGATATAATACGTTTAAGGTGCATAAAACATGTCACATATACAATGTGTGAAATAAACTTTTTTTTTTGCGTGGGAGGGAACCACTGCATTAGAAGTAGTTCATTCCAGTTCGATTGTCTAAGTCAGTTTTCATGTAGTAACTTGTAGTAGTACATACTAATGGCTACTGTTTTACCTCCATCTATTCCTAGGATGTTTACCAGTACGATTTCTGTGACCTCCTATTTGTAGGCTGATGATTTTCAGTGCTTGTTTGCCTTCCTGTGTACGAGGGTATACTGCTGATTCAGGCTTTTTGCACACCATTAGCTTAGCAATAAGTAACCAATTCTTCTTTGGTGTCCCCATCACTTTGTGACGCCAGGTTTTGCTCCTGCTCCACCAACTCTCGACTGTCTTTGGAAAAAAAAAGTATTGCTTTTTTTCGCATATGTTACATGAAGTAAAACCACAATTTGCACTATATCTTTTTTTTTAAATGCCAAGATGAACTCAAGAGCTTTTCGCCCTGATGAGCTCCTGCATATAAGCATCAGCACTGAAGCAGACACAACAGTGGGGTGAGTGAGCAAACTGCTGGTTCGTCACCGCCAACAAGTGTGTAAATAAGGGGGCTGTATCAACCAGCAACATATTACATTATGTGTACAACACAAATGAGTTGAACCGTAAACATTAAATTCATAGCTTTTGGGGCAACATGTGTTGTGCTTTCCATGCATTTTGCACGTGTACTACACGTGTACGTCCACTCAATCTCCATTTTTATGACCTTCTGCTTACTCTCCTTTGTAAGTACTTACTGTAATTTCCAGACTATAGGCTGCTACTTTTTTCACACGATTTGAACCCTGTGGCAATATAAACAATTATACTCACTAGGTGGCAACAACTCATACAGTGGTTTGTACAAAAAATATATATACGTTATCAGGTTCTAAATGGTATTTCAATTGGCAGGGGTGTGGGCCGGGGGGGGCATGAAAACATTTTTGTACCCGGGGTGGGCATGACACAAAATAATTAAGAACCATTGTGCGTATGTCTGTCTGTGAATTGCTGTGTGTGTATATATGTGCGTAGGGTGCGCGAGAGAAATTGTGGTAAACTAAGATAAATGACATGTAAAAGTCATGCATAAAGACTAAAATGATAAAAATGCTTTTCACCTTTTCTACGCCATCATGCATTGTATGAAATGTTAAGGTAGAAACATGACACCTGAAAATGGCCACAAAATTACTAAAAAAAGGCAGAAGTATAATGCAAATATGAATTAATAACAAATAACGAAATGGTTGATGTACAGTTTGGTTCGTTGTGCGGTATATGCAAAAGTTTGGCATGCTGAATTAAAAAGCCAAATGGGTTGCATTTAGCCCCCAGGCCGTAGTTTGCCCATGCCTGCCCTAATACTTGTAGTGATTTGATACAGTATAATGCAGTGGTTCTCAATTATTTTCTGTCACGCTTCCCCCAGGACACAGAATATTTTTCACCACCCCCACCCCCTCAAATTGAAATACTATTGAGAACCTGACAGTATGTATTTTCTTATTCGTACAAAGTACTGTATTGAGTTGCTGCCACCTAGTGACCGGAGGCTTGTTTATCATTCAAGCATTACAGCAGCGGCACACTTCTGTCCAGCGTGCCATATTCCTTTGGAAGCCCCTTACGCCACCCTGTCGACCTCTGACCCTGTGAGTGAGTAACTTTTCATAGGCTTTACCTGAAAGATTTCCCATGGTCAACCAATGTATTCTAGCTGAAGCTGCTGCCAAGATTTTCCTTACATTGCTAATATGATAAAAGAGTGTAACTCATTTTATATTCAAAACTAGAGTTGGAAGGGACAGAGTCATTTGACCTTCAAAATAAAACAATCCAGACACTACCGGACATGGAATGACTGATCCAAATCGATCTGAGATTACAATGATACAAACAAATGTGTCTAATGTTTTATCCATTTGACAAAAGCTATTTACAAAACTCAACATTAAACTGACTAAGTTATATGTATTTATTTATGTATTTATGTGTATGTATTTAAAGCCTGACATTTGTAACGGTCTTCAATGGCAGACTTTTTTTTTTCATCCGTGAGGGCATGAATCTGGAACTCAAGGTGGTTTAAAAAAAAAAAAAGAGTTTCCTAAAACTGCTTCTGTGCGCATGTGTCCCTTCTGGTAAAACCAATCCTTATAAAAATATAAATGAATAAAATCCTCTTCCCTGCACAAACTATTGTTGTTTTCTTAACTACAAAAGGTAATGTTAATGGTAAAAAGCACCTTTGTTTGATCAGTTTAACCGCACCGAGGCCATTACCACATAAGTTGTTTCTTCAGGGAATGAAGAAAATTCAAACATGTTCAAAAACAAAAACATGAAGAAAATTCAAACATGTTCAAAAAAACAAAAAAATAAAACCAATCCTTATAAAAATATAAATGAATAAAATCCTCTTCCCTGCACAAACTATTGTTGTTTTCTTAACTACAAAAGGTAATGTTAATGGTAAACAGCACCTTTGTTTGATCAGTTTAACCGCACCGAGGCCATTACCACATAAGTTGTTTCTTCAGGGAATGAAGAAAATTCAAACATGTTCAAAAACAAAAACACTTTACATACTTCGATTGAATCACTGAAATAATATAACAACTGCTGCTCCAAAAATAACCAGTGTTTTCAGACAACAGCAGCAGGAACTTTGTGTTGTGTGCAAAGGCAACTGCACACAACTCATAAATACCTACATCGCCTCAATCTGCTGTCGCATAGAGAGCTTACCCGTGCTGTGGCAGACTTTTACTCCAGGTGGCTCCGGTTTCATCGTCAACACATTTTGAATAAACACAAGAGGATATGAGAAAGAACACTACGAAGTGTTATCTGGTGGCCGTAGAAGTAGCTTTGACTATATCAACAGCTTTTCCCCGATGAAGAGGTGGACGAACAGAACATCACGGTGTCGGTGCAGTGACCTCAACAGTTTGATCGGCTCTTGCTTTCACCTCCTTCTCTGCTGCTCCTTTGAACAGTCAGAGCAGTTTCTATGGTAATTCAGTCCCTCCCTCTGTCCCTTAGTGTGTGTCATCTAATTCATCTGCCCACTTCACCTTTGTGTGTTTGTGTGTGTTCATGTACAGCTATACTGTACTTGTTGGAACACATTGTTTGGGAAATGTGTTTCCAAGAAGACACTTTGTTTTTTGGGGGCATTTTGTAGGTCCATAATGAAAGAGATTGTGATCGCAGTTAGGATTAGAATGACAGCCGGATTAGTGTTTGTGTAGTGGTTCTCAATTATTTTCAGTCATGCACTCCCTAGGGGAGAGAATCTTTTTCACACCCTCCCCCAAACTGAAATACTATTGAGAACTTAATTATATGTATTTTCGTATCTGTACAAACCACTGTATGAGTTGCTGCCACCTAGTGACTGAAGGCATGTCTAGCTTACCAAATTCTATTGGAAGCCTCTCACACCCAAAACTCGGCACCCAATGCCCCTCCTCTCCTCCCCTGTGCTCACTAGGGTAAGACCATCCACCCATCCATCCATCCATCCATCTTTGTCCACTTATCGGTTCCCGCACTAACCGGGATTTGATCTTGCCCAGAAGCACCCCCCCCCCAACCCCCCAATTGAAATACAAATAAGGACCTGGTAATATTTATCTGTGCAAACCACTGTATTAGTTTCTGGCGCCAGAATTCCGCATACAACTAAATAGATTAATAAAATAAGCTGCAATAATGCCATCTAGTGACTTTCACTTTCATATCCATAACTATTTTTAGGGCACACATTGGGCGAATCACAGGCATTGCGTTATCGAGTTTTCACTATCGAAAAATTCATACTGATTCTTTATTTTTTCAACAATGCTTAAAACCAGCCCAGTGTTTTTGACAAATTGATAATATTTACTCAATTTGACAATGAATATGTGGCGCTTTGGCCCAGAGGCAATGTCTCTGTCATTGGTATGGTACCCCAGGGTTCACCTCCTGGGCAAGTTCGAATCCCGGTTAGGGCGGTTGGTACCTTCCAGTGGACTCACCACCCGCAGGAAGGTTCAGGGGGATTGGTACGCTGCAATGTGATTTGGGTGGTGACTGCTGCCCCCGGTTTTGTCCCTTTTTTCAGGAGTTGCCACAGCAAATCATTGAGTTCCATCTTTCCCTGTTCTCTGCATCTTCTACTCTGACTCCAACTATCTGCATGTCCTCCCTCACTGCATCCATATATCTCCTCTTTGGTCTTCCTCTTTGTCTCCTACCTGGTA